CATAATAATGTATTTATATATGTTCTCAATCAATCATAATTTATGGTTTGATAACTTATAAATTTTCTTTTGAATTTATTGACAAATCATTTGATTCTTGATTTTTTAATTTTCAAAACTTTGATTTTCATTTTTGGGATTTTTTGTTTTTGTTTGTTTTTTATATATATCCTATGGATATATATATATATATATATATATATATATATATCTTTGTGTTAGACCCTTGTGACACTTTGTATTAATGATACGCATATGAGTGTTCACTTGGTCTTGTATATGAGTGGTGTTTAGCATACTTTTATCTATGCTTGCTCACATATATTTGCCATGTTCATATTTGCATATTTTCCATATGACATTTTGATAGGGGGAGCAATCTCTATATCTTCTTATGTTTTATACTCACCTATGCTTTATGATAGAGGGAGCTTTTGCTCTCTTATTCTTTTGTTTTCCCCATTTTGATGTTGCCAAAGGGGGAGAAACAAGTGGACTGGGAGTATATTTTAAAGAGTATTGTGCTTTATTATATATCTTATATACTCTTTGTGTAGATTGTTTATCATCATCAAAAAGAGAGAGATTGTTAGGTCTCATGTTATGAGCCTACATCTTCTAATCTTGTTTTGATGATTACAAACAATTCCTAATATTGTTTGTCTAGTGTTTATGTTTTCTTATTAAGTATTCTAGACAAACAATATATTGGAGGTTGGATGGATTGAGCCATCACGGTCACATCAAATGGAGGTTGGCGGAATATTGGTATGAATCCATTACACATCAAGTCATATTCAAGATCAAGCTTCATCCGCAACCAAGTCAAGCATATTGAAGATCTATCAAGCTTGGGTAAATTAGTTTAGGGTTTATACTTTGTGTGTTAATATCTTAAGCTCAATATTATACACACACAATTTAATGGTTTTGTGTTTTATCCACAAAAGTTTTTACAAACAAATAGATATATAATACTTATTTATTTTCTATGTGGATAAGTTGCTTTGGTTTAGCTATATAGATATGAAGAAATATATATCTTTATTTTCACATTTATATGCTTCATATTCTATTGAATTTGCAAAATATTATATTTATGGATTGAAGACTTATTTACACTATTTTCATATCTTGTACAAGTCTATAAATTCATTCTAAAGTGTTTTAAAGTTTTGTTTAAGTCATTCTGGCAAAATCAAGTTTTCAACATGTTCTTGCTTATGTGATTTTGCAAAATAATAAGATTTTACAAATGGGGAATGCAAATTAAAAAATTCTTTTTGTAACATATTCATTATCATAGTTACAATCATTTTCCAAAGTTTTATATTTTTCTGAATCTATTTGATATTTTTAAAAGAGGTTTGAAGTTCGTTTTTACTATTCTATCCAGGCTGATAACATGTTATCAGTTGATTGATGGTTTGTATCAGTCGACTGATGAAACTGTTTGTAATCATCAAAAGTTTTTGTTTCGTTTTGGTCGACTGACTATGCTCATCAGTCAACCGATGAGCTGTTGTTATCTATAACGGTCAGCTCATCAGTTGACTGATCCAATCCGTCAGTCGACTGATGGCCTGTAACGGCTATATTTCTAGTTTTCCTTTTTTTGTCATTTTGCTGGATTTCACTTGGGTTTTGAGCTTTGTTTCTTCATCCTATATATACCCTATACCATTTCACTTCTGAACTAAGAAGAAAAGTTTTAAAATAAGTTTAAAAAGAGTTTTAGTTTGTTTTAAGTGTTTGTTTACAAAATTAGTTTTGTGAAGATTATTTTACAAGAAGAGGAGATCAATTTTAGTTTGGGCTTTCAATCTTCCTATCCCTCTCTCTTGTGATTAGAGAAGTGTTTCTAAACTCATTTATCTAACTTGTTTATGCTTTAATTGTTATATTCATATTTGCTAGATTTAATTGAGTTTATATTTAATTTTCTCATTGCTTGCATACACACTCATTAAGCTTAACTATTTTCACATATTATATAATTTGGGGTTGTGGTGAGTGTAACCTTGAGAGAAAGCTTAAATTATGTTCTCACCTATTGTAGAGAACAAAATCTTGTACTTGAGCTTCATTTGTGAGAATCATCTTGTAATACACATTTACACTAAGAGGAGTGTGTGGTCAGGACGTAGTTGATACCAAGAGGAGTGACTTCGGTAGTAAAGCCTAGAGAGAGGTAGTAAAGCCAAACACTTGAGGGAGGCGATACGTGAGGACCAACACTTGAGGTTGTAGTTTGTGTATGTACATTGTGAGAGATTTGTAGAGTTTTCAGTGAGCTAGAAAACCGAGTGTGTAGAGAAGTTCCAGCTTCCAAACTGGGTGTGTCGATAGTGGAGTTCTCCCCGGGAGTAGGGAGCGGAGACGTAGGACAGAAGGTCCGAACTCTGTAATCATATTATTGTGCTTGGATTGCTCTTTGTGTCCACTATTTGTTTATATTGTTTCTTGTTTATTTCCCCTTTGCATATATATCCTTGCATATATCTTATTAAATATCATTATTGTTAGGATATATTTGTTAATTAATTTTAATCGACATTAATATCTAATAAGATTAGCAATAACCCTATTTTCCCCCCCCCCCCCCCTAGGGTACTTTCATTTCTTAGCTTCTAGAGTCCAATTAGTCATTGGTGGCTTCGAATCATTGGCTCTGGCATATTCTTTGATGTTTGTGATCTCGTAGTACTATAGCTTCAAAAAAGCAATAGTCAATCAATGAAGTCAACTCATTTCATATCACTTATCACAAATTAAAACTATCATAGAGTAAAACTATCACAAATGTCACTTAAACTCTCACAAATATCACATATCAGTGACATATGTCATATGTACTAGACAAATATCACAAATGAGAGACAAATGTCATATTGTAACTATAAATATCACAAATAAATGTCACATATTAGTAACATATGTCACATGAAAAAGATAAATATCATAAATGAGAGACAAATGTCACATGCTAACCACAAATATCACAAATAACTCACCGATAGCAAAGGAGATCATCTACTTAGGTATGTCAGTCCCTTTTTAGCTATCTTCGTAGCTTTTAGAGAATCTCACACTTTTTTGTATATGATAGTCACCTATGAGGAATGATCAACTATATCTATACGAGTCATATATTTGAACATATGTCTATGTGCATTCGTTCTTGCAAGTGGAGTTCATACCATTGTAAGTTGGTAAAGAATTTGAAGCATCACAAAATCATGCTCATCGGATTTTTTTGGACCCAACTAGTTTCTCCAATAAGTGTTCAAAATATTCTTGGCCACTTATGTAAGCATCTTGTCACTTATTATTGAAGTACGTACTCCAAATTCTTTTTGCCGTATCACGATTTGCTTCCGGTTTCTCTCCTTTTTTTGAACCGAGTTTGCTTTTGCACCCAATTTACATCAAATATATATGTTTGTTTTTTTCATGTTTGACTATCATTGAAAAAGAACTTTCTAGTAGCCAAATCAAGATGATTAATCAATAGCATGATTGTAGCTCTATCTGATGAAATTGCTCCAAAACTAATATAGTTTTGGAAATTGAAGGATCCATAATCCTTCCAATGACCGGGCCTCATTCGCGGAATAACTTCTTCCATGAATTCACAGTAACCATGTATATTAGCACATATTCTTATATCACTCTTACTGTAAAATACAACACGAGAAAACAACATGATTCTACTTACAACTGTGGATAAATTCACAATGACAAATAAATAAGTGAACAAATATGGATAAATTCACTCAATTCTACAATGGGTTCAAAATTGATACATACAACTCATCCTTTCTTGTTGCCGATTCAGATGATGAACTTGATTTCGCCATCCTAAATTTTCACTGAAAACCAAGGGCTTCAAATTGAGGGTTTGGTTCAATAGAAGAGGGATTTAGGGTCAGTGGTGGTCTCCTAGCCGAGGCTGCAGACGGTGAGCTTGCGGTCAGCGAGGTCATTTTCGATGACAGTAGCTTCCTTGATCTGGCCGTAGGGGGCGAAGGCGGAGCGCAGACGATGATGGAGCGCTCGCTTCCTTTATCTAGCTGTAGGGGTCAAAGATGAACAGCTTGTAGTTTCGGTGGTCGGGGTCCTCATTGGCAGCGGTGGAGGAGTGGGATCTTGAGAAGAAGCGGTTGCGGAGAATCTCGATAAACATGCATAGAAGGGGGAAGGGAACTGTATTTTTTTTAGTTTTTAAATGGGAAGGACATTTTAGGAAGAGTCTTGTTGGGTTGTAGGCTTGTACAGTTTTGGTGTGGTAGTTGCACTGAAGTATCCATATAAGAGTTGGATAGCATGATATTTTTGACTGGGGAGGAGGATGCATAGCATTAGTTTTTAAAGTTGCTCCAAGCAATTTTCCCTATTTTTTTCTAAACTGGTGTAGATTTTTCATTTTATATTTATATAATAATTATGTTTAAAATACATTATCTTATTATGAAAATAATGTTATCTTACATTAGTTGGTAATATAGTAAAAACTAGCAAAGCATGAAAAGCACAACTCTCATAAAACATTGGACACTAACATTATGGAGAATTATTATTATTATTTTCTGATATTGGCCATCTTAAGTATTGTAATATAATTCCATCAAAAATACATTTTTATTTTAGATAAGTCCCTTAATTATGAATTATACATTGAATAGATCTCTCGAGGTACAATACATTATCTCGAACCCTTAATAGATTTAACATTCTTAAAGTCTCTGATTATATCATCTTCTTCACTTATGATTTTTTTGAAGGTCTATTCGCAATTAACCCTTTGGTTTAAAAAAAAATCTTATGATCTTTTTTTTCCTAGTTTGAAAATTAAGATTTGGTGGGACCAATATAAAAAAAAATCCTACAATTATTGGGGTTTGCTTGTTAAAGGGGCAAAATCTTTCTTTTAGGATGGGCCTACCTAATAAAATAGACCCAGCCCAGCCCATTTTATCTCCAACCACAAATCGTGCTATATAAAAGCTTCTCAAAGGGCAGCAAAATCTAACAGCCATTGAACTCTAAATAAAAATTCAAAAGAAATTTGGAAGAGAAAAAAACATGTAATAATTTTGTTTCTCTGGATTAAGCCCTTGGCTTGAATTATCGAACTTTGGTTGTTTTCCCTTGAATCGTTCGATTCTCTCTGTCTAATTTCTCTTTTTTTAGGAGGGCTTCGATCAATCGTCCTCCGACGCCGGATGCTGAAGAGGAGCCGGAGCGAGAGCCAACCCTTCAAGAGATTATCAATATCAAGGTATCAATTCAAAACCCTAGAATTCTCATGATTAGGGTTCAATTTTTTTTTTTAAAAAAAAACTGTTATTTTCCTTAAAAATCTAAGTAGCAAAGCTGAAGCCCTAAACTTTTAAGGTGAAAATATTTTGTTAGTTAGTTGGGGCGGGATGCCCAAGAACTGTATTAACTTTGATGCCCCAAAGTTTTTCTCCGACACTTTGATATCCTAAAGTTCACATCTTTTTTAAGTTTGACATCCCAAAGATTTTTCTGACACTTCGATGCCGCAAAGCTTTCACTTGTTTTAACTTTGAACCTTTGATACCCCCGAAGTTTTATTTTGACACTTGTATACCTTAAAATTTGTGTATAAATGTTCAATATTGTGAACGTTGGGTATAAGGTGTAAACTTTTGGTACCCCTAAAGTTGAAATATGTGAAAACTTTGGTACTAAGTGTCAGGAAGATGCTTTGAGGTGTCAGACTTCAGGGTATAAAAATGTCAAAAATAAACTTTTAGTATCAAAATTAAAAAAGGCTGAAACTTTAGGGTACCAAAGTGCAAATAACCCTTAATTAGAGGAATATACATAGCAGTTTTTGCGGGGATGGGGGTGGGAAGAGAGAAGCACGTGTTTTTTTCAATGGATGCTAACATATAAAATTAATTGTTCAATTGGAAGAAGGATTTGGCATTAACCCCAAGTACTTATTTGACTTGAATAGTTCTGGAAATGATTCACAATCAAATCTTTTATAGCTAAAAATAGTCATATTTCATGTTGTTTTTTCTAATTGTGTTTAACGATGTGGTTTTTGGTATTGAAGATGATCGAAAGTGGGGAGAAGGAGAAATTGATGGAGCTCTTAAGAGAAAGGCTCATTGAATGTGGCTGGAGGGATGAAATGAAAGCTCTTTGCAGGTTTTTGCTGTGTTCTCTTTTTTCTTTTTGTTGTTAATCCTACTTAGTTTGTTGTTAAATTAAAGTAAGAGAGAAATGTAGGAACTGTGAACTATAACTAATTATGTTGTCAAAGCCAAACTAAGCTAGGAAAAGTAATGATGTGCCTTTGTATACTGGAAATTTGGTTTTATCCATGAGGCTTATTCCTTCAGTAGTAACTGAGTGAATGGCTTGTGGTTTATTTAGCATTTTAATCTGAACTTGAAGTCAGTTGCGAAGAGCAATTATGATATCAGCATCGCCAATTTTGCAAGTATGATTTTTTCTCTATGGATTAAGTATAAGTTACATTGTCATGAAAGGTTATCGAACATATTTTTTCCTATTCTTTGAACATTAGAAAATGAGGTATTTAAGAACCAAAGTTGCAGGGGGCCCACATTTTTGCGTTTTTGCCTCGTTTGAAATTGGGTTTCAATTTTTGTGGGGTCCCTTGCATTGTTCGTAACTTTGTATTCCTAAGACCCCACATTACATCATGTTCCCTTTTTTATTCAACCAAACTATTGGATTTGGATAAGGATTTGAGCGGTTAAAAAGAAAGGAGCTGCTCCTCTCCGATCTAAGTCCTCTCTCTAGTCAGAAATAGCGTAAATTAATCAGGATGGATCGACAGGCTTTCCAAACCTATTGGTCTCTTCCTCGGACCTAGCATTGCTACCTGGCCCATCACCTTGATATGATGCACACTCGGTAAGGTCTTACCATCCCCCCCCTCAATATCCATATTCTGGTAACCTCGGACGATAGCTTTACCCCGATGAAACGGATCGGACGCCAGCTAAGGCCTTCTACCGTAACGTCCCCTAAAGGCGTAACTGACAGGTTTTGTTCTATCTGCCCATCCGAGGACCTCAGCCCGTACTCCAAAAAAGCTCTTTCGATGTCTTCGCTATCGAGTCTTTCAGGTCTAGTCTCCTTTGCCTATGTTGTTTTCCTTCTAATTCGCTTTGCTTCTAGCCTATTTATTGGGTGGGTCTCCTATTCCTTGTCGGGAGCATTCGAATCGGTCTAGCCCTTCCATCAGTTCAATGCCCTTCGAAACAGTCCTCACCCGAAGCAAGCCCATAGAGAAAGAGCTGCTTTGTTTTGATGGGTCGAAGACAAATCAGATTAGTTGCAAGCCAGTCCAAGAGGAAATACTTCTCTTTGAGCACTTCGATATCATACTCGTCAGGATGATCATGATCAGATAAGTAATCCCGTAAAGATTTCATCCAATCTCTATTCTTCGCTTTTTTTACCCAGAGATCATCAAAGGTGCTACGCATGGACATATAAGACGTAAGGTTTTCTTGCGTGACAATAGGGTCATCAGAGACATCTTGTGGCCTACAATTTTTAGAGATAAGATTAGTATTACGAATAACTGATATGATCCTTTTCTCTTATGTTAAACATTATCTCATAGAAAAAGCTCTATCCTCTCATGCTTAGAACTCATTTTAAGGATAGAGTTCTGATAACCTAAGTATTTCATCTCCACAGCTCTTCCTAATAATATAGATGGAAGCTCTACCTCCATAGATTTAGAATACAATTTGTGGAGGTTCAAGAATTGATCCAAGGTTATTAGTTTGCATTGTGGAAATTGATGAGGAGACTCGTTCTACGTAGTTTCTTTCACCATTGGGATCCAGGCCAGTTCATCACTAGCAATAGCTCAGAGGCACTGGTCTTGTATATATATTTCCCCGTGTATTTCAACATATATAAGGAGAGCTTTATTTAGAGATAAGATTCTTATGTTATTAGAACTCTATCCATAAGATGAATTTTAATCATTAGAAGATAGAATTTTGTCTATAAGATAAAGTTCAACGTAAGATGATGTGATCATATCAGTTATCCTTAATGTTGCTCTTATCTTCAAGGATTGCAGCTCACAAGATCAAGCGCTCAATATTCAAATCCAACATACTCCCGCTCGACGGAATAGTAGGCTACACCCCTTTGTATTGATCATAAGGTCCATATTGTTGCTGTGTTGTGTGACCATCGTGACAATCTGTAATTGACGAGCTTTACACTACAAACCCTTGTAAAGAGCAAGTGTAGAGACATCAAGCCCTTTGAGAAAAAGTTACCGATAGAGTCTCATGCACCCTAGATAATCCTTCTCATGGGAAGCATACAAGACTACTGCGAAACTATATGGTGAGACCCACACTTCCTCGAAATGAAGCTCCGAATGCAGACTCATTACTGCAGTAGATGTGTCAGCAGTCTTTCCCTTGCATTGTTGCTGTTCAATCTGAGAACTGCTGCTTTCCCAATCATCTTCGTTTGGAGTGAATCTATCATGGCTATACATGAAGAGTCAAAGTAGCAACAATGCTTCTAAACCTTCACAACATAGTCAAATTTCACCAGGGTATAACTGGAACAAATTATATGCTCCTTATGTTTTTGGCTTCACAGGGTAGCAAAGAAGGGATCCATTAGTCAATAGCGCATCTCCCCAAAAGGATATAGGAAACCCATTTCCTAAAACATTATTTTCTTTATTTTTTTGGCAACCAAACAGCCCCTTATCTTGTATAGAATAAACATTTGGTAATTCGGTTTTACTGCCTATCGCAAAATTATGTCTTATATAGTACGACTATTATATTTATTTTGATCACTTTAAAGTGAATCAAAGTAATTAAAAAAGTTACAAAAGGAAAAAAAATCAAAAAGGTTGATAACGCATAAAAAGGTTAAGGGTCTCGCCATGGGAGAATTAACCTTGTTAGTATGGGTCACTTGTTAGTTGAACTCAACTGACATTTACTTTCTGGTAAAGATGTTTCGTGATACATGTCCAGACTGATTTCTTTCTGTAAAGTAATCTGATTACTTTTAAGTTTGGGCAGACTCCTGTTCTATACTTCTGCATGTAATTAAAGTTTGTTACTATAAAATATTCAGTTAGATGCTTTCTTGGCTTAATTTTGAAGCATCTACTGTCCAATTTTTGGTTAGTTTCTCCGCAAGAGCTTTCGTATGTGCTGAACAGTATCGAGCGAAAGTTTTTTCCCATCATTTTCCCTTTGTATCACTGGAGGTTCACTGGAGTACATTAATTGTAGGCAAATTCTGTATATACTCATGGTCACTGGGAGAACTGGGGGACAAAAGGATGAATCAAGTCTTATTTGGTGTCATCAGCTTTACCCAGTGCCTCCTTAATTCATAAAATTAGCCATTTGTTAGCAATTGGCATTATTTTCATTTTATATAGGAGTTTTCTCAATAGATAAACTATGGGAAATTTTCTCCTTTTTCTCTTTAAAATCTTTCATGAGACTCTTGTAACGGCTTGCTAATTATTTTCTTTTCATGGGAAGTTCGTTTTATGAAATATAATTATGTATAATTGTTTACTTAGGGCCTACGCAAGGAAGAAAGGGAGAAATAATGTCACAGTAGACGACCTTATAGATGTTATTACTCCAAAAGGCAGAGGTAAGAAACAGTCTGCATTTGCATGGGTGTTTGTTTGGATGAACGCAGATATTAATTTGTATGCGAGTGTGCGGTAAATGTGTCCTTAGACACATGCTTCACTGCATATGCACGTTCAGACCTTATGTTTATTTCAGTTTAAACTTCTCTATCTCATGAAGGTTATGATGTTACCTGAAGATATGGTTTCTGTTAGTACTTTTTTCGTTTTTCCTTCTTTTCCTCCATATTTTTACATGCGCACACGTACATGATGTTTGGACAGATTTCTCGTTCCACCTGATGTTACTTTGGTCAAAATTTCTTACATCTCACTTTCTCGTGACAATTATGATTTTCAGTGAAGATCCATGGTTAGATCTGTTATGGCATCTATACGCACTTTCTGCTTTTGCAGTTTTACCAGTTTAAACTTGAGTTCTGTTATGATTTTACAACAGTTACTCACATTTCCACCTGATGTTACTTTATTCAAAATTTCTTACATCTCACTTTACTGTGACAATTATGATTGTCAATGAAGATCCATGGTTAGATCTGTTATGGCATCTATACACACTTTCTTCTTTTGCCTGGTTAAACTTAAGTTCTGTTATGGTCTTACAACAGTTACTCACATTTCACTTTCTGCTTTTACCTGGTTAAACTTAAGTTCTGTTATGATCTTACAACAGTTACTCACATTTCATTCTCTCAAAATTTGCTTGCACACTTAATTTTGTCACTAGCTGTAAGAAACACTTGACACAGACATGACAATTCACTAAGGTGGGGATTGAGGAGGAAGTAGCGACATGTTAATAATCATCAGTGTGTCTGTACAAACTACAAAGAAATTACATAGTACCATGTTCTGAAAAAATGCAAGGTAAGTTGGCGTACAATAGACTTAACGTGGTCTGACACCGCCCTGGACCGCGCATAATGAGAGCTTCATGCACCAAGCTGCTCTATCTATTGACATGCAAGTGTATCCATAATAAGGCATAGTCTTTTGGTTGACTTGTCTATTATACAATGAGATTTTGTATAGGGAATATGTTCTGGATAATCCCTGTAGCTCCTTTTTTAAGAAAACCAACTTTATTTTATGCTATTTTTCCTCTTTTTTTTGTTCTTTTTTTTGTTCTTTTTTATGTTTTTGTTTATTATCCCATGAGTTAAATTAGTTCTGTTTGTTTGTAGTTAGTTCACTTCTTTTACTTTGCCAATGAAAGTATTACTGGTCTAAACCTGTAGCGGTTATCAAAGAAGTCTGAGAAGCCTAAAAATGCACACGAGATGTTTCCAAAAGACCTTAAATCAGAAGTAAACTTGAAAAAAATGATACGGTGAGAAGAGTCAAACATATGATCCAAGGAAAAATTTTGCATCCCATGTGGACAAAAACTAGCGATAAAAACTGAACATAGCTAAAAGACATGCATCAATCCCTTCTTTTTATAATTGTTAGTATCTCACCATAATTCCAGAGTTTTTTGTGCAGTGCAACAGACCTTTAGAATATGAGAGCAACATGTATTCAAATCCCATTGGTCATGCATTCAAAAGATATTTAAAGGGTTTTTTCTGTCCCCTAGAAACCACCTTAAAATAGGGTAATTATATGGAAACCATCCTTCAATTTTAGTTATACATAAATCACCTTTAATGTAAGTTTTTATTGCAATCAACCACCTCCCAGTCAATTTTTCAGTAAAAAAAGAAAAGTTCAAGTTCAAGGTACGTGAGCTTGTATCCTAAGAAGACCTAAACAAAATAAAACAGAAAGTCATGTGCATTGAATGTGAGTTTTGAGTTTTGTATAAGTAATTTTGGGTTTTTAGTGAAAATTTTGGTTGTGAGGTGGTTGATTGCAACAATAACTCGCTTTATAAGTGGTTTATGTTATGTGTAAATTGAAAATGAAAGGTTATTCCGTATAATTACCTTATTTTTATGTGGTTTCTAGGGGGGTGGAGGAAACCCTGTTTAAAAACAGAATAGATACCAATTGTGTGCGTCCAAGTTTCGGCCATGAAAAGAGTGACCAACCTGTGGGGCATGTTAGACCATGAAATTATATAACCCTCAATCTCGCCGTAGATATAGAGTTTTGCTGCAATGGAAGAAAACCTTTAACGGTTACAAATATAATTATCTGATGAAAAGTTGCCATTTGGTATTTTTTTTGGCAATGCACAGCTTTGAATACCTGGTTCTAATTTGATACTAATGTCCATGAAGCTTATACAGTTAGTAATTAGAAATGCCGTATCCTTTTCTGCCATAAGTTTGACGATCGATTGCTTGTTTTTTATTGCATGATACAAGTTTGTTCCTTTATTTTACCTTTTTATGTGTCAATAGTTTTCAAATTTTTACAAAGAGGGCGACACATGCATTTTCAAATATCTATTCGAGCAGGCTCAAACAACAAAGTCTGTTTTGTATGCTGAATGTCATTTGATGCTTTTATATTTCGATTTGTTTGTTTCGATGCAGCGTCAGTGCCTGATTCTGTGAAGGCTGAGCTATTGCAACGCATTAGATCATTCCTCATGGCAGCTGCACTCTGATTAGATTGTGCCCTCAATATCATATGATATAATGTAAAGTAAGAGTCATTTTTTTGTGTAATTCCAAATGCCGAAGCTATAAGGAAAAAATATTTAATTTCAAGACTAAGTATCATTTTAGCCTATAACGGTCCATGTATGGCTTTACTCTGTCTCCATATTTTATGGGAGTTGTGTTGTGTCGTAGAGACATCATCCAAATGTAAACATTATGTCTTGAATGTGTTACTAATGAAATGTTATTTCAAGGAAGTGAATATTTTTGCATCGCAGTGGGCTAACGTTCACTGTGTTCCTCAAAAAAAAGTTGAATATGAATGATAAAGGCAAATTATGCTAACGGGAACGATGTCAACATCTCTAGGATGTAAAGAACTGGAACTAAATCAGAGGATGGGGATGCCCACTGAGTGATACGGATATTTGGGAAGTTGCGATATGGTTCTCATCTCCAGGATGTAAAGAATTGAAATTGTATCAAATGGATCGGATGCCCATTGTGGATGATCCGGATGGTTAAAAGATTGCAATATGACTCTCATGGTCCTAGGTTCCATTCCGAACTAGGTTTTAAATATTAAAAAAAATTTACTTCTATGGCAATAAATCATTCAGAGAAGTGAATAATGCCTAGCGTGTCTTCAAAGTTCAACACAATTTGGTGCAAGAGCGAAATTGAGGAGCGACTTCAATACTCGTTATCTGCGTTGTTCTTTAGCCTAGGGTGTGGTTCGCAATACCTTGAAACTGGGCTAGGACTTAAACTAGCTCAGTTTTCAGCTATTTCTAGTTTTGGAAAACTTGGACTGCTGCTAGCCTTAGGCTGAAAAGAGGAGATAAAACTAGTTCTTCTTTGGACCAGCACTCACCTAGTTTAATTTAGAAATGGTTTAGAAAAGAACTAGCCTAGGAATGATCCTAGACCCGAGTGGCTTGCCAAACACACCCTTATTCAATATAAGTAAAATCATCAAGAACTGGTAAAGAAGAAGGTGAGGGGGGCGAAAAAGAAACAGTCCGTGCTATGGCACTTGGTTCAGTTATGTGTGAGGTAGCAGCAAAGCTGATCTTGTCACAGTAGAACTAATCCGATAATGTTTGATAAGAGAGAGTAAAATAACAATAGCGCAGGAAAAGAAGGTAACAGAAATTTTACGCAAATTTGTGATCAGCTTCAGAGAAAATATCTGGATCCAATTTGACATAGAATTATTTCAATGCTCATTGTATCCAACTGCAATAGAAATTTCTCTTTATTGTAGTTACAGAATGTAACGTTTCATCCTACCAATACCCTCCTCCTGAACGCGACACTTTATAGGTATCATCATATTTTCTATTCATTCATTTTGCTCTTCTTAAATCAACTGAAATTAATCAACCAGTTTCAATCTCAATCAGCCAACCGATATCAAATGTCAGTGCCAAAATAACGATCACCAAACTCCCCTAACCCTGGAATGACTCGGAATTCCTCATTCAATGCCGCATCAATCTCTGATGTCACAATCTTTAGTGAAGGAAAACGCCTGCAAACACAATGAATCCCTTCTGGTGCCTAAATGACCAAGAAATCAATTGAATATTAGCGAGAAAACCTAGATGCAAAAACTTCAGCAGTTTGATGTTCTAGAAGGAAGCTTACAGAGATGAGGTTTAGAAAGATTATATGATTCTCTGGAACACCTTTCTTTACAAGGAGTTCTATAGCTTGGTTAGCCGAGTTACCTAGGAGCAGTAAGGTGTCAACAATTCTTATAAATTAGCATATGATGCAGAAAGAGGAGGCCATTATCGTTTTATATGTTTTTTGGGTTGGGGGGTGGGGGGGGGGGGGTGGGGGGGAGCTGATCAATCATACTCATTTAGTTAAAAGCTCAATTAAAACATGTGTCTTTGCCAAACTACACCCCACATCTCACTATTTGCAAAACTACGCCCAAACCATCAACTTTGGGGGGAAAACTACCCCCCTACATCAACAAATCATCAACGTTGAGTCTTGGCAGGCTGATTTGTAACTGCAATGTAAAAATATCAACCAAATAGTCAAATTTTTTACTCTTCATATCCCAACTGTTGATGATTCTTGATTTGGGGGGTATTTCTCTAAAAAATTGATGATTTGAGGGAAAGTTTCGCAAATACTAGACTTTGGGGGTATTTGCAAACGTACATGAATTAAGGGGTATTTAAAAAAATCCCTTTAGTTAATTGCTCCAAAGAGATAAATATGACTAACCTGTGGCGAGAACAGGGTCAAGAAGTAAAACATGCCGCTCTGAGATATCATTTGGCAGCTTCTCATATATGAGCTGATTTTGCATAACATCACAACAGAAATAACATCACTAAAATGTCCAGATACTTTTTTTAAGGCAAACGTATCCATAATTATCTGAATGCTTACCTGTTTACCGTTATCTCCATCACGGTGAATGAGAATTTTTCCAATTTTTATTCCTTTACAACAAGCCCGCAGCGCATTCTCCATGCTTTCACCACTGTGATCAAACAAAGATTATAATGCTTTAACCATAAATGTCGATAGCGTCAGGAATATATCCTAATGTTCTGAAAGGTTTCAAAGAAAATGGTATACAATGTTACTGATGAAAAAACATTATGAAGTAGCATAAAGAAACACGAAAAAAGAATTCAAGGCTACGATTAATATGGCATCACAAAGGAATTTAATTATTAAGGTGGATGATTGACATAGATTCCTGAAGTCGTTGCAAAGAAAGATGTAGTTGATATCTATCAAGTAGATTAATTCACCAAGATATGCTAGTACATATTGAAATCCTACGCATCCAGTTCTACATGTGCAACTATTGGTTCTAGTTTCAGAGGGATGTTAAAAAGAGTAATGCATCAAGTATTTGCTGGACTAAGGTTACACAAAAGAGGCAAGTTTTGTAAACGATTGCCGGAAAAAAGAACACGCAGTGAGGGAATTAACCTAATCTGAACATACTGCTTCATGGACCGCACAAAATTAGTTGATGAAAGCCATGCGGCAAGATTCGAAGAAAATGCTTCAGAATTATCTTAGCTGGATATGAAGAAACCACTTGTGAGCTATGTTATTGGGAATGTACTTGTTAGTCCCGAAGCACTTCAGCAAAACCTAAAGTAATATGTCGTCTATCTGCGACATTTAATCTGGATCTGAAGAAACTGCTTGTGAAACAAGGTCATCAGGAATGATCATCTTAGCTGAGTACAGATCCAATCAGAACCAGTCCTATACTTCTTTCTACTTGAAGCTCAAAGCTGTTGCCGCATATAAATTAGAAAAGAAAATAATAAAGACCATGTGAATCCTAATTAATTGGTAGTGTATCTTCTTCTATCTTCTTCTTTCTTTTCATCCTAAAGTTCCTAACTCAACTATTCAGAGGAATTCCGACGAGATCAATTCTTCTCAAAGTGGACTTCTCCCAACTTCGCCATCGTTTCCATCATTTAGAAGCCATTAGTTCCACAACATTATCCTCCACAAGAGCTTCCTTCATGCTGTAGACTTTTACTGAGCATACGTTCTTGGTTTACAGATCTCCTCACAGAAAACAAATCAAATTCTAGCTGCCATTTCGATTATTTAATTTTAACTTTCAACGTTTTATTCTCACAAGTACTGCACCTGATCTCAGTTTGAGCCCTTACAAGCTGCAGCCAAAATCTGGACTTTCTCGCAAACAGATTTAACAAAAGAACAAAACAGATGCAGGGTGATAAATTCTTAACAATCTACTAGGGCATTCATCCTCGCAATAGAATCCAGATGTCAAAACCTCTAAATTAGAGAATTGAGATTTCAGAAACATCTGTCTCAAATTGAAACCATCAACAATTTGGCTTTGAGGTTTTGCAAATTACTAGGCTTAGGCTTTGAGAAGCATCAAAATCAGCACGAGAGATCTGTTACTTTGTGCAGGAAAAAAGTGAAGACAGGAGGAATGAGGAAGACAGAGGGAGAGACTGAAGGAAATCCGTGCTTAATCTACATGCAAATACGCAGCGGAAGACTATATGTACGAAAATACAAAGCATGTAGAGAGCATGAAATCCAACATCAGGACCATCCTAATTAAATCTAACATGATCCCTATATTAAAGAGAGCATCCAAGAATTAGAAAGTCATACTTTCGAAGCGTGATTCGATGCTAGATCAAACAACCCCTAGATCATGCTCCTTGTTGTAGTAACCTCCTCTTGGTGGATCTTCAAAACTTCAAGTGAACTTGGAAAAATTGGAGGCTTCTTGAGGCACAAGGCAAGATATCCACTCCGGGGTTCTTAAAATCCTACTACTTCCTCTTACTCAAAGATTGCTAGAGTTTTTTAAGAGATAGAGCTCTCTTTTATTCTCTTATGGAAAACTAATTTTTCATTCGTCCATTCATTAACCTTTCCATAAGAGAGAAAGCTCATATTTATAGAGTAAGATATGTCATGACTCATCTCATGAGTCATGGCACGAGTCATAAAAAATAATGATTCAATTCATGAGTCATGCAATGACTCATCTCATGAGTCATGCAATGAGTCATGAAAAATCAAAATCATGTGCTTAAAACCATGTTCCCAAACCATACCACTTAATGACTCATCTCATGAATCATGATATAACGAAATGTGTATTTCATAAATGAAAATACCACATCATTATTACTAATACGGTATTTCACAAATACAGTATTTAGTATTTTTCCAATCTTTAACTAACAAGTCATCATATGACCAAAAAATCAACCAGTTGACCAAAAGTCAACTTTATGAAAAAATTCTGAAAATCATTTCTTAAGCACATAACATTCTGATTTTACCGATACATATAACTGTTTATGTGCATCCGGTAAAATCATATATGCGTATCAATCATTCGCATTACTCTATAAATTGTATTTTATAGAATTCAAGTACGCGCTTGGTGCGACTCTAGGGCCCAACTTAAAACTCGGCAGTGGATCATATCCACTAGTACAACAGAGGTGCTAGCTACACATGAAGACTACCGGGTATAAGTTATGATAAAGGTATGCAAGATGCTTACCTAATTTTATCAGGATCATTCAGTGATAATACCGTATAGTCCGATCTCTTCATCAAACTATGTCAAACTATCGAGCCTAGAATATGGTAAACTGTCAAACCCTAATAGCTTGATTAGTGTTTGTTGATGTTAAACTCATAACCTATAAAATCAAACTGACACTCAGTTTATCTTATTCACCCCGGCTAAGGATTTTCAGGTTATAGTTATATCAAACAATCTTATGATATTAACCCTTTTTACTGGGAGAGACAAATCTCATCTAGGCATCTTAATATCTACTTATGTCTCGGGATATACCCAACAAGAACCGTTATGCACAACTCACTGAGAACTGTGGTTAGGTAAAAGTCTAAGTACACCTATACTGACATGTAAGATATTGCACTCATGCATCAGGTCAAGAGACTACTTTGTATTATATCACTTGAAAACTTCTATTTGACAGTTAAGTATAAAATTACCAACTAGATGTTCTCGGTGAGTCGTTCAGTCAACTCATTCACTAATGAGTCACCTGTATACTGTGAGTCGTTCAGTCAACTCATTCACTAATGAGTCACCTGTATACTGTATCTTGATGTCTCACATCAATGACCTAAGAGATAGTCAACTCATTCACTAATGAGTCACCTGTATACTGTATCTTGATGTCTCACATCAATGACCTAAGAGATGGATCATCGTCCTTCAAAAGGACAAATAGAGTACACACTAGTCTTGCCAAAATGATGATGTCCTATCTCAACACTTTATCGACTAGAAACATTTTAGAATATACGTTAGCGACTAATCAGATCTCTTCTTCATTACGATCATCATCGAAATTTTGATAGTCTAATATTATTCTAAGGACTTTATCTGTATTTAAAAAATACTAGATAAATACTGACCAAAATAGCATACTATCATTTTGAACAATGATGTTATATTCATATAGGTCATGTTACAATATACAATTATTGTCTGCAGGACACCTATATCTAACAGAGACTTGCTTAATCAGAACTAACAGAGGAGTTTAACCAATTCATTAAGATCTGTATCCTGCGGACACGCGTCACTTGTTATGGGTTCCGCATAAAGTGAAAGCATACGACTGGTTCTGAGAGGATGCCTACTCATCTTAGTTCTGAAATTATGCACCAAAATCTAAATCAACAGATGATTACTTTTTGCGCTTTCTTGGAAAACTACAGAGCAATTTCTTCTTTCTATAGCAATACTGACATAGATCAATTTTTTCATGGAGGGGAAGATCAATTTGTGTAAATGCTAAGAGATCAGAGGACTAATATTAAAAGAAAATTGTCATCGGAGTAACTACGCCCCGAAGAATAGATCAGTCTATAGTAGCACATCTA